ACTAGGCTGCTTTAATTTGTATGCTAATAAGAAAAAGAACAACAAAAAAGAGACCAGGTCAGTGAAATATTGGAAAAAATAATTGATAAAGATCGTACAAAGTTAAATAATTTTATCTCATGAAATTTTGAAAAAGTTACGTGATGCTAAAAAAATTCGAAAACTAAAACTTTCATCTGAAAATGGTTTTATGTGGATAATTCGGTGAAAGTGATATTTTAAGCATATCATGCATGCTTTGAGTTGTCATTTTCTTATATTTTTGTTTTTCTTAACTGTAAGGTCCATAACCAAGATCGAACTGATCATAACAAAATGAAAAGATAAGTTCAGAGATCGGAATATATCGATTAAGAATAACGTAAAGAAATGGTAAACTAATGAATTATCCATCAAAACTATAAACGATACAATTTCTGATAAACATGGTATTACCTTTTTATTAAGACGGATTAAAATCAGATAATTTTATCATGAAACGTTTTTTTCTACACAATATGAAAATTAAGTGTCGTTTGGTGGATGACAATAAGCCAACTTCCATGGAATCAGTTAAAAATTTCAAAAACATTCATGATATATATAGTAAACAATCTACTGCTTGCCATCGTCAATTATTTCTCTCATTTTTTTATCAATGTAATGTTAATTTGTATAATTATTTTAGTTGATTTATTTTGGTCTTGATTTGGACGTCGCTTGTCAATATCCTGTTTGGTCCCTAACTCCCTATTAAGCATTTGAAATCATTGGCACGAGTATCTAAGTTTTTTTTTTTTTCCTCTAAATCGATTCCACGAAAATTGATTTTTAAACTATATAATTCATTATACAATACATATCAGCAGTGAGAATTATTTTTATTTTTATTTTTATATCTGTTATCAAATAAATAGATATGGTTACAAGATTCAATATTCGGAGGTAAAAGTTGCACTTAATTATTTAATGAGAAAATATGATGAGAGAACAAAAAACTAGCAACTTGTTGGGAAAAAGAAAAAGAAACAGCTTGAGATCAAAGCTGATTCGATGAATCGATACTTAGGAGAGATATCTACGAGCATCTTCGACAAAAGCTTAGAGTGCAATGTTGCACACGCATTGTCCGAAAAATAGAGCGGAGATAAGAGATATTTTTATAAAGTATTGAAGCATATGATTAGTTAAAATTAGTTAGAAAACATTGTTCTAACTATGTTGAATTCGGGTTTAAAGAGAGATGATTTAGTTTTATAGAGTCGTCATAATATTTTATTTTATCATAATATATTGTTAACAACTACTTTCTAGTTTCGAATAAAATTATAGATTCAAAAAATCTTAAATTTTATAAAAATTTGCTCACATAAACGCAAATGAATATATATATATTTTTTAAATGTTAAAGTGAAGATAAATATCATTACATTATTTTAGATTGGATTCTTCTAAATGATTTTAATATGAACAAATGATTTATATTCATAAAGGTGC